ATTCAAGCAGAATAGCCTATTGTCAACATAATTATGGAGTGTGATTTATTTTCAACTCAAAATATCTTCAAACTAATGAAAAATAAAGTTATTAGAGAGACCCAAACCCAAACCAGTCGTCATTCCGTATGTGGCGGGAGTTTCAGAGAAACTGAGACGTTTATTCTCTAAACTTGACGTCCCAGTGGCTTTTAAACCCCAAAACACATTACGACAAAGATTGTTTCAAATATCCAGTTCTCTGGCAAAAACAGAGTAATATAGTAAATGCTGTTAAGTGTCAGGAGGACTGTGACCAGTTAAACACCAGGGAAACAAAGCCTTTTTTTATAGAAAATGTTGTAGAATTTTTTTAAATGTCATTTTTTAAAAATGAAATTAGCTTTTGTTAGCAGTGTCAGATTTGTTTGGGAGTGGGGAGATAAAACATTTACAGCTTGTTTGAAACCATGTCTTGAACATTCTGGATCTGGGCTGAACAACACGTGGCTGTCTGACACTCGTGGGTTCATTCATGCAGACGGAGGTTATGTAAGGGAATTACCCTCCTCTCCTGGCAGACATGTCCTTGCTTCAACTSGTGAGGAGAGACGAGATCTTAGGGGTTGGAGCTGTCAAAACTGAAACATGTTTATTCAGAGAAACTGGTGTTAGTGACACAGAGAACTCCTGATGCTGTGCAACAGCAGCTCCATCAAACAACAGCTATAAACCCTTTATAACTGTTTTCACTTAATACAATAAAGACATGACAACATGAATAGAAATGAAATAATTAAAAGTAGAAACAGTCATGATGATGACAAACATAACTGTGAATAAAATTAGGATTTAGTGAGTTTGTAGTTTAAGTCTGGCCTCTAGTGGTGATTTTGGAACTTAATAGTCTTGATYAGATTAGACTTGACAGCATTTTTTATAACAGCTGAAGGTGACAGTTATTTATTTTGCTATAGAACTGAACTAAATGCCGTAGAAACACATAATACTAGCCCTTTAATGAATCCTGGTGGAGTAAAACTGGAAGTAAAATGATTATGTATGGGCTCATCAAACTACAAAGAAATTATTATTTTGGAAATGCACCAAGTCTGCACGTTTATTTTTCTTTTAGACAATAAAGACTTGAATTCTGCTTAGGTTGAGTTGAAACTGATGTTTTTCCAAAAAGCTCATTTGSATATAAGATGAGGTTTTCAGGATATTAAAATATATCCTCATTTAAATTTTTATTACACAGTACATTGTGAAAATTTATGTACTCAGTTTTGTTTTTGATGGAGCCACACATTTTCTGATCTCATCTTAAACATGGTTTGTTCATCCTCAGAAAACAAACTGACGTGTTCAGTGGTGCCTGTGGTGAAAACTTAACTGAATAAAAGATGTCATGTAAAAGTGTTGAGGTTTAACATCAGCAAATGTGGAATTCTTTCACTCCAGCTACAAYGTAATGTTTTTATAAGTCTGAAAATGTATAACATTACAGGACACAGTAATTTGTGATACAGATCCAGCTAAACTGATAAGTAAAYTGATGTTTTGTTGGCTGTGAGCTGATGACCTCTTCAGGCACTGTGAGCTTTTCCATAATGTCACAGATGTAAACAATGGTCGGGATAAGCTGCAGTGCCTTGGTCTGCATTGTACTCCGTGTTTCAGGTGATTAAACAAGTTGGCAGTGTTATCTGAAGGGTTAGCAATAGAGCCGCCACCTGTCATTGGGCTCACATGGGCGCTTTATAGTGCATCGAATATGGACATGTCGCAAAAGGCTAAGTAGGCTAAGTCTTGTTGTTTTTTTGGGTTAATTATATAAAAAGTGGACTGAATTTGTGGTTTACAAATGAAACTTTGACAGAACTTTGTAGGCAGAGGGGACTTATACTGTTTTTTTTTTATGAAAATTATAATGAAACTAATACTTTTGTGTTTAAGCTAGTAATTCATGACATCCTTTAATGACCTAGGTTTTCATGACATTCTGTTCATCTGCAGATAAAATGATTAAAGTCAGAACAAGATTTGCTAACAACAATAATTCTTAGATATCACTTGTGTTTGTCTTTGTGTTTTCCATTGACCTTGTATCAAATCTTGCTAAGATGACAGAATGGTGTTTGTTAATATATATACAGTATATGAGGCCTCTCGAGTGGAGTCAACAGTGTTCAACAGTAGTGAGTAGTGTGGAGAGACAGTGACAGAGAGAAGCAGAGGCACAGAGACAGGCCAGGTTGTTCTCTGTGTTTCCTGTTGTTGCAATAAAACTCAGCTGATCATCTCACAGACTACCTTCATTCTTGGACCAAGTATTTCTGTCTTTGTTAAATAAATATTGCCATAACAGTTTGGCGTTGTCACAGGATCCACTAGGAGATCGAAGGACCAAGGCCACATTGCAGGTGGACTGATATGAGTGAGCAGAGCAAGGACTGGACTGCTCAGGACCGTGTCTCCAGCTGGATGAAAAGAACCTTTTTATGGTAAATTGTTTTAACAACAGAGATACGCTGGTGATGATTGTGATGGATGATCTTGATTAAGCAAAGAACATTGAATTTTTATTTTTGGCTGTTGAAGAACCTGAGAAGATTTTTGAAACATCATCTGCTGAGAG